AGTGTCAGAGCAACCTTCTGAGAGGGCACATCTTCGCTGGGGTAGGCTGTAGGAGCGTGAAGCCAAAAGTTTGTGCAGATGATCGTTCGGTTCAAAAATTCAAAACGCAGGACTGATCTCAGATCGCACCCGACGCCACAACGGCACCATCGTCGTAATCTCAGACCTGCCTTTTCTGGTTCACTCCCGCCCCTCAACTACGCGAGATGCAAAGTCCGACTTGCCGATGCATTGCTAGGAAAAAGAGTGGACGTACATGCACAACCAGGAAGTCCGAGTTAAAGAAAGTAATATTGGTGTGCGTACTGAAACAGCTTTTGAGGCATCGGGAGTTACTAGCAATACATCCATCTCGCCCGCCCCTGCAGGCAGAGACAACGGTCATCGAAGGCCGGCGAATCGCAATAGCAAGTCTACTACAACAGAAATCTACAATATGCGACAATACATCCCAGCGAACGACTAGAGAAAACACGAGATAGATAGGGCATGGTGGATGAATGAATGAAGAGACGACGCGGATGACAAGAGCGAGGAGAGAGGGGCGCGTTTAGGCACGCGGCGATTGCTTTGGCTCTGCGGGGCCTTTGATGAAGCCCTCCTGGTTCTCGTTCGACAGGTCCTCGAGCGTCCTCTGTTTCGTCTCCGGCAGCAGCAGCGTCGAGAAGACGCCAGTCAACATGAAGAACGCGAATATCTCCATACTGCAAAGCAGTGCGTCAGCAAATACTCATGTCGCAGGGCATGCAGATCAACTCACATGTGTCCGACGAACGCGTTGTTGCCGTTAATGTTCTTGAGACGGGCGAAGCCAACCTGGGCAACGACAGCGCCAAACTTGCCGCTCGCCGCGGAGATACCGTGGGCCGTCGAACGGTAACGGGTCGGGAAGACCTCACCGGGGATGATGAAGGTCGTCGTGTTGGGGCCGAAGTTCTGGAAGAAGTTGGTGAGGCAGTAGAGGAAGACGAACGCCTTCTGCGCGGGTGGGGTCGCGATCAACTTGTCGTAGCCGAAGCCCATGCAGCAGAAGAGGATGGTGAGGACGGCGAAGCCCATGAGCTGGATCGGCTTGCGGCCCCACGAGTCGATCAGGAGGAAGGTGGCCCAGTATCCGGGGATCAGGCCCGCAACGGACAAGATGATGTTGCCGACGCAGACGTTCTTGAGGTTGGTGTACGCCTTCAGACCGCCGGTAAGGGACTTGTCAGGGGTACCGAAACCGATGGCTTGGAGGATAATCGACGAGTTCAGGCCGAGGCCGTAGAACGCGATATCGAGTGCGAACCACGAGTAGGAGGTACCAATGAGAATCTTCATGTTCTCCCACTTGCCGAAGTAGGCGAAGAAGTCGCGCTTGGTAGCCTTGGGCGCCTGGACACGCTCAATAGAGGCGTCGGGGTCAACGTAGTAAGTGCCAGAGGTCAGGAAGTTGTCCACGTCCTGAGAAGCCTGTTGGACGTTGCGCTCGACATCCATGGTGAAACGAGGAGTCTCGGGGATGGTAAGACGGAAGTAGAGGGCAATAACACCGGGGACACAGCCGAGACCAATGAGGAGACGCCACATCTGGTCAATGTGGGGGAACACAGTGGGGTCATCGTGTATAATGGATGATTTGTAGGCGGCGACGATGACCATGGCAACAATGGCGGCGGCTGAACCAGGGTGAGAATTTGTTTGGAATGCGTAATCGACAAGTGGACTTACCAAGTTGACCCCAGCCTTGGTTGGCGAAGACGGCGGTCATGAGACGACCACGGATATGCGTCGACGCGAACTCTGACGAAATAACGGACGACAGAGGGTAGTCACCTCCAATACCTACGCCCATTATAAATCGCCACACGATGATCACCGCGATGATATTGACAGCGTGAGCCTCGCCCGCAAGTGTTTGACCAAAAGTTCCAACAATCATGATCATCAGCTCGATACCGTCTGGACTTCGTGTGAGCATCCGTTTGCATTCCGAAAGAGCAGTGGGGACTTACACATCTTCTTACGACCGACAAGATCTGCGAGCCAACCGAACAAAAGCTGACCGACGAGGTTACCGATGGGAGTTGCGACCTTGACACCGAGATCCTGGTTCGTCGCGAGGGCACCGGCCCCATGCTGGTAGACATACCCCAGCATGGTAGAAGCGATGTTGATAGCGAAGATATCGTAGCTGCGCTCCATCAGCGGGACTGCGGACGAGCCGACAGGGCGAGGGGGGGGACTTACGCATCGGTGAAGAAACCGACACCGGCGACGATGCAGACCTTGAGGTGGAACCAGCTACATCATGGTGAGGAACCGTCAGGGTCGAGAGTGAATTGCAGAACTACTCACGAGAACTTGGCGCTGTCGACTTCCGCGAGGGCCGCGCGACGCTTCTCGTCGAGGGTGTAGCCCGGAAGGCGCTTGCCACCCTCTGCGGAGCCGGAGGATGTGGAGACTTTGTCACCTTGGTAAGTGGCCATCTCGAGCTCGTCCTTGTGGATGCGCCTTGGACGTGCAGGCGGGAGCGAGGGAGGGGAGGGTGAGCAGTGGGCGGGCGTGTGGGAGAAGGCGCTCTTTTAAGTGGGCGAGGCGTCGGCAGAGTCCGCCCAGAACCAGACGTGAATCAAATTGGACATGTCTAGGAACACATATTGAACATGAGCGCGAGAGTGTTTGGAACGCAGTGCACATGCGCCTTTGCCGCACGGTGCCTCGCACGTTCGTGCCATTCCACCAATCGCTGCTGCCGATCAGATCAGATCTCATAGATCTATCCTGTTTCCCGTTTTGGCGGTCCCCACGTTCCTCCCTCCCGCCCGCAAGCTCGCGACATCGCTGTTTGCTAATCGTTTCTCGTGTTTTTCTGGCCCCGACTGCGTACTATGGTGGACCCGGTCTTGTCGTGCCTGGCAAAATATGTATGTCTCGGCGACGGCGGCGGCGACGGTGCAACAGAAGCCGGTGGAAGAACACGCTCTGCTGACGGAACTCTGTTCTCCATACGCTGCACCGTGGGCCGCGCCTGCTAGTTTTCGGCACGCGAAAGATGCGTAGACCGTCGTGCCTGCCAACCAGGATCAACTCTCGCACCGGTCCTGGCAGTTCCAGAGCTTACAATGTATACGTTTCTCCTTCGGGCCAGCGCACGACGAAACCTTGCCAGAAATCTTCTTCTCTCCCAATGAAATCGCCTGACCCGAGTCGCTGTGCTTTCGCGAGTGGTATTGCCCATGGCAAACCACTGCAGCCGAAGCTCTCACCGTCCTGCCGCTGATCTAGATGAGTCGCGCCTCTCACGGAGTGTGATTATGAACGGCCTAAGGAAACCCTCAGCTGTGCACAGGGTCCAGTCAATTAGTCGGTGTTTTAACCTATGCACTCTCGTATCCGGATCAAAAAGCCACTAACAACGGCATGTGCTCAGCTGGTAGCCACATACGACAGCCACCTCGCAGCCTGGTCCACAAGGGCTTCTGCCATCAGGCTGTGCCCGTCTCCCGTGTGCACTCCGGCTGAGCCAGCTTGGCGGTGGCATCGGGAGCTAAAGATCCCGCCCACGGTCCATCACAAGCTCTGGCCGTCGTCTGCGATTTTTCTCCGTGGGCCCCTCGTGCTCACCATCCTTCGAGGCCCGTTGTGTGGTAAGGGTGTCCGGGAAAACCAACAGCCGCACAACCTTCGTCTAGTATCATGGTGACGACACCAAGTAGTCTCTGATAGATTCAAAACGACGCACCGATCGTTCCGACCATACGAACGTACTTCTGGGACCACTGTACACAACGTTGCCGGCGAGCTTCGTAGCCCAGACTCTCGTCTTCTACGGACGAGAGTCTTTACTACGAAACTAGCTATCTGCTTAGGCGTTGATCACCTCCTACAGGGGTCCCCACTACAATTCGCCACACATGAGGCTGTGGCTTCGCACCACTTCGCCTGCTGAACCTAATAGCAAGGGCGCCTGGCGAACAGCCACCCCGTTTAGAGGTCTTTGAGGTGGGCCTAAGGGCCGCCACTCAATCTACTTCTCTTACCGATACCTGCGCTCTGCCAGAACTATTCTTGGCGTTATCTCATTCTGTATGCTTCTGCAGTATCGCCACGTCCGGCTATCGCTGTTCCATCAGCCACCGGTATGAAACCCGTGCGAACGTTGAAAATGGAGCGTAGCATGCGCAATGGTTTGCGTTGTAACACTAGCAACCGCGACGGCCCAGAAGACAAGCACATATGACCTCAATAGTAGCGAGCATGTGGTACGTAGCTTCTGACTGTGATTATGAACGATACACGTCACAGGTTTTTCCCTGCATGTGCTGAGCCAGGGTCCCAATCAAAAGCTAGTCGGTGACCAATGCTGTATATTTTACTGCAAGGAAGTAGCGATCGGTGGCAGCCGGACGACGTTAGTTAGGCACCTGCGGCTAACCGTTCGACTGTATTTTACGGCTCGTGACTACTCCTTACATTATACATCTTCAGGTACGGTACGCATCCCAGTCGAGCCGCCACCGTGGTGGCGTACAGTGCCCCGTCCTACCTCCCGCTCTATCGAGAATTCACGTGAAAATCCACCTCTGCCTCAGACACCTTCTCCGATGCGCCCCGCACGATCGTGATTCTCGTCCTCCATCCCCACGGCGAGCAAGATTAGACGAGGCTACATCCTCTCCCGCAAACAGTTTCCAAGGGCAATATGAGAGACATTTGACGACCGTCCATGCGGTGAGGTGCACTTTTATCGGGTCTACCGGGCCTGGAGACACATGATAGAGAAGTGGCAACGGTTTTGAAGAGACATGCGGGGCTTGGACTCCTCGTCGGCGTACTTCCGATCGTCGCAAGAGTTACATGTCAGAGACCTAGAGCACGCAGGGTCTGCAACAAGCTGCAACAGCAGAAGGAAGGAGAAAAATCCCCATCGGTCATCCCACGCCTCTAGAGCTCGCACTGGAGCGGCCTTGCTCAACGGTCCACCAAACCTCTCCCCGAGTACTCAGCATCTGTGACCTCCCGTACGCGCGACACCGCGTCCAGGGCACCAGCTGGGACCACCTGGCCCCGTCCCAGAGCGTCGACGCACGTTCGTCCTCCGCCGTGCCGCCACTGCCGCTGCAGCGTGCGCCGGTGACAGCAGCCTGTGCCTGCGCGCACCACGAAAGTGTTCCGTCTGGCGGCCGACGGATCAGCGAGGTCTCTGGGCGTGGCGCGGCGGTCGTCCACGTAGACCCGTCGCGCGGCCAGGAAAATGCAGCCTGTCGCAGCCGCCGGCATTCTCGCGCCGCCTTCGCGAGCTTCGGCTGCTCGTTCGCGGGAAGGCTGGCCGGAACAGGCGGCGGACAGAAGCATGCGGAAGCTACTGGAAGCCCGCGGTGAGCGAGCGAGTGATCTACGGATGCTCGATCTGTCGTCTCCCACACCTATGCGAAGGTGCGCTTGCTGAAACTCGCTGGATGCTGTGCTGCGCAGCGTTATTGGAACGAACACATCCTGGGGCCTGGGGCGTCGTGTCTCAATAATGCGCGACCCTTGCAGCTCGGCACCCGCAGGAGCAGCCTGCCGAACCTCTTCACCTTCAATCCGCAGGCAGCAGTGCCACAGTAGAGATCCATTAATTGGGTCATGCCGGGGATCCCGCCGACAGGCTAGGTTGACAGCTCTGCCGCAGCATTCTGTGAAACGAGCGTGCGTATTGGGCAGCCGCCTGCCTTCCGGCAGGTCAGGCGATAGTGGCGGCTGCACATTATCGTAGCATGACCGAACAGGGTCCTTGCATCACTTGCGACAGGACGTATGCCCTGCATGCCGAGCTATAGCAAGGATGACAGCTCGTGCGTGCGCCATATCTCGTGCGTATGCCATCACTCACTGCCATTTATTGGTGCATGCGTTAACGTATTCGCCATTCAATACATTTTACTACTCCCGTTGATTGTGTCGTTTGACCAGTGCGAAATGACACATGTCCGGCTTCTCAATTCAAAACTTCTACCTTTCGTGCTTGGAGAACATCGATAGATGCCTATGCATCTCACAGGGGCAGCGTCGTGCCCCTATGGGAGGCATGAGCAAAGCATCGACGTTATCCAACAGCCTCTTGGCCTGGGAAACGCACCCTGCGATATTACTCCGCGTTTGCGTAATGAAGAAGCAGACCGTAGCCGTTGATAAGCTTGATCCGCCCTCGAGCACTCAAAAGCAGTAACTTAAGCTTTCATACGATGAGGGCGTATCTCAGTAGCCCGCGGCCTTCATTAAAGAAGCTCACCAGCCAGTCCCTCCCTCCGGCTCCTGCCCTGGGCAGCTGTCATGGCCGACGACATCAATACACGCAAGTACCGAGCTAACAACGCACCATACCACCATACTCTGAGCATTTACCTGCAGACGCTTATGGGGCTCGAGATACCTCATGAGAGGAGACGTACGAACAAGAAGAGTGACTGCTGGTGCGAGAAGTGAGTGCGAATTTATAGGGCATGGAGAGGAGTTTCCTTTTCGGCACCGATAGCGCAAGACAATGAGTCAATGTGCAGCATCGTCACACGAGCTGCATTGCACGCTGCTAGAAAATCTGACGCGTCTTATTTTCGGAGAAATCGCCTTCCACAATGTTTTCTAGATGCGTTAGAAGACGATACGCATACTAGCTCCCTCTGGCCATCCAGTGTATGCGCAACGCTTGAACTTGGACACTTCCTGTTTTTGGAAGGGCGGCGGTATTACGACGGTACGAAAGGTAAGCCGTGCGCCGCCCGATCGAGTTATGACGACATCAGATGCCGCCCCCGCCACCAAAGCCTGGACGCGCCGCTACTGTGCCCATCCCCTCAAAACCAGCATTTTCTGCCAACGCTTTTACGGACTTGCATCCACTACGATCCAGCACTTTTCCTCGTCTGAAGTATCCCCCCCCTCCCGACATCTCCCAAGATTCGAAACGCAGGACTAGCAGACAGCGGCGGAAGCATTCTCGCTCGAACTAGTGAAAAAATTTCGGTCCACAGATCGCTCCGTCGAAACGTGCGCACACAATTTTTTTTGCCGATAGTGTATTAAAAGATCGTCGAGTTACAGGCCAGTGCGCGGTTCCGAAACGGTGCGCTGCGTGTCTGAGCCTCGCGATCGGTCGAAGCTAACAGAGAGCCTAACTAGAGCTACTCTACAGAATCATCTCTGCTACTCAACTTAGAAGCCAGGAACTCGGAGAAGTTAGCAACCACATTGAACCATGGCGCCGAAACCGCAGGTAGTGCCGCCGTCAGGGAGCTCGGAGCCCTCGGAGCCGTCTGAAATTCGTCCCGAGGACAAGCCCAAGAAGCAGCTGAAGGGCGAGCAAGAAGAGAACCCGCAGGTGGTGGCACATCGTCCGGGCGGCCAGGCCGCGGACAAGAAGGGCGATTCCAAGAGTGGCGGCAGCGGAAGCCTCGACAAGGTTGCCGACCAAGGCTTTGCGGGAGAGAAAGTGAAACCCAAGCTCTGAAGCGCGCTTTTCGCAGGATTTGCACGGGCCAAGTGAACGTTCCTGTATTCGCAATAGTCTGGCTGTACTATGGTCCTACTGTATCCAATTCCCAGTACTCGCACACGTCTGGGCCCTAATTCCGTTATTTTGGAAGTGTAAGACGCTCTCAGCTGCATGAGACCACCACCTAACGTCGGTAAGCCTGAATCTCCGTCTGTCGCTCACGGTACCTCGTTCGATATTGCACGAGTCGAGGCGATAACGTACCCTGATACTGGCTTACAAGCAAAGTCTATCGAAGCTGTCGTGCCGTCCGCACTCAAGCGAACCCGAGCGATCTCAGCCTTCTTGCTACAGGGTCCCTCCTTCGGTGATGGCCCGACTGGGATGAACGCGGCCTGCAGGGCCACAGTTGGACCTGGACATTCGAATGACATATTCCAACGGCACTGGTGCATCTGTAACGACGATCCAGGTCCAGATTGATAGCAAACCCACCGCGATTTCGTGGCTGACCGCATTCTAACCTCCTGGATAAACCTAGTCGGTGACATCCCAGCACCAGGTAATCTCAAAATATCGAGCGTCTCGAGCGTACGGGAGAAGACCTGAGCACACTACACGATCTGAGGAGCATTCCCTTATACCGATAAGCGTAGGATTGACAAATCTAAAGATGAATCGATGATGCTTTAACCCGAAAGCGCAAGCTCCCAGGTCTCTAGAGAGCCAGGTCAACATGCTGGGGGCGCCGGTGGAAAAGTTAGGAGTCGACTTACGTCCAGTCTTGTGGCGCCCGAGGCATATTCTGCCAATGCTATGTCGAACGTGATATGGTCGACGTTACTTGTGTGGCAGGGAGTCCAGGGACGAGCCTGAAGGTCCACGTTCCTGGCAAAGCGTGAAGAACGTTGATGGAGACGACGCCCGGAACGGAGGGGGCGTGATCTTGTTTGGTCCCGGTTTGGACGCCTGCATCATTCACCCCGCCTCCACGCCGGGACCCAACCGCGCCCCGGACTCTGCCCCTCGACAACGCCGCCGGCACCGTCCTCGACCGCAAGTACGCCTGGGCCAGCGACGACTACGATCACCGACATATCAACATCTGTTAATCTGCCCAGCACGCATTCCGCAACCATCCGCAATGAAGTATATGGAGATTCCCGAGCTGGCGCGACTCGCGCAGGCACTTACCCACGAAGGTCCCGAGTGCTCAGTACACACCCGCCTCGAAGCCTATAGCCTCAAACCGGTCAGCAAGGACAAGAAGCTCTTCAAGTCGCTCGAGGCTGGCTACCAGTCCGATGCATCCCACAGTCCGCCACTCCCCTCCTTCATGTCGCAGAACGGCGAGCAGCTCGACATGACGCCATTCGGGCACATGAACGACCAGCATGCCCGAAAGACCCTCTACCTGCTCATCAACACCCTCAACCATGCGTTTCCGGACCATGACTTCTCTGACGTCCGGCCGGCCCACTTCAACCGAGAGGAGAGCGGCGCCAGCGTGCTCAACGCCCTGAGCACAACACTCCTCAGTCCGAACCGCGCAGGCATCATCGCACCACGCTCTTACTCCGCATATCCTTCTGCATCGCCAGACTTCTTCCCGTCATCCGTCCCGACGTCGTCGTCGCCGCACGACTTCATGAAGCCGAGCCCGCTCGCGCCGCCCCAGGTCGTCTCCGGCACGCACCCGACTGTCTTCCGCGTGCTGAACGAGGCGATCGGCCTCGGCGACTGCGAGGTGTACTCGTACGTGCCGCCGATCCAGTTCGACCCGCACGCGAACGACTTTAGCGACGACGAGGACGACGCGGCGTCTGTCGGCGACGAGAGCCCGGATACGGACGAGGAAGAGACGACGTTCCAGTTCGACGACTATGATGTGGACGAGGCGCCGACGAGGAGCGCATACCGGATATCCATCACCGACGCCGCGGACGAGTACACCTCACACCACATACGGATGCGCCGCCGCGGCGCGCTGCTGTGGAGCTCGCACTGGTTCTTCTTGAACAGGAAGCTGAAACGAATATTGTTCATCACTGTGTGGTCGCGCTCGAAAGGCTTGTCGGCGTGGATGCACGAGGATGAGCTGCCGGAGAAGGTTTCTAGTGAGCGGTTCCTCGGGTGGGAAGGGGCAGTCGGCGCGGGCGCCAGGGCGATGGGCCTCGCTGTCACGGCTTGAGACCTTTGTACCATATGTGAGTCTTCCAGCTGGCTCTGGAGAACACGTGAGGATTGATGCCGGCGTAGTTTGGAGTAGATTGTACATACCAGCTTCGATCTCTTTTCCCTTGTCTCAATCTCTGACATCTTGGACTCTCGCCTCCTCGTTTTGCTCAATGATTCTGGGTTTATCTTTCTCTATCTCCATGCATCTCAATCTCGTCCCTTTTTCAACCAAAGGCTCTCCCACCCGATATCATAGCACCATATTATTCCACGCTACTCACGCTCACAAGTATGTCCCTGAACGTATATATATATAACCTATGTATGAATCCTTCATTCAACGTCAGTGGAGGAGCGTCGGGACAAGAGGTAGCGCACCATCTAAGTACATCCTAGGACACATCTGTGGGAAGGACGCCTCTTTCTTCCTTTAAGAGTCTCCCGTCAACGCGTGTCAACGGTAACGAACTTGTTCATGAGCATATGTGGTGCAGCAGCAAATCAACATCATACCAACTCATCGGCCACTACAACCTTGCCCTTCCCAACTATACCTGTCGCACTCCTTTTGAGAGATGATGAATGTGAATTGAAGTGTGGGGAAATATTGTCGGCAGCCTTCAAATGAGCTATCGTCGCGAGTGAGGTCAACTCAGACCCCACTCGCGACTCTTGACTACCGTGTCATCGTTCAGCTTTCCGTCGTCACATTGAGACTGGGCAAGCTGAGCAGCACCACGGGGATACAAGTGGATCGAATGATGTAGCCATGAGGGAAGAGATGGCTGGAGTGCCGGAGAGGGGAGAGAGGGGAGAGAGGAGGGGAACGGGCATGACTGGAAGCGAGATGAATGGACCCTCGGGATGATATGACTGTAGCAGGAGTCACCGGGCGGGCGTCCGAAGATGCGAACCCTCGGCCTCAGTCCGCAGCTGTCCTTCGTCGCCCACGAGGCCCAAGAATCTTTTCAGACGATGTCGCAGAGGAGGGGGAGGAGGGCAAGACATGCGCGGCGCCCCGTACGCCAGAAAATTCGATGGCTCACTCTGCGCGATCTCAGATCTGGCTTCGTGGCGTTCTCCTTGGCGTCTAGCGAACCCTGACCTCTCTTGTGGCCACCGCGACGAACGTCTGGAGGCCCGGACCATGCGCCTGAGAACTGTCGACCCATCCCTCCCGGAAGATCTGCTGAATGCTTTGGATGAGCTCGGTATCAGGACTGATGCAGACTTCATCTTCTCGGGGACGCCGATGGAGCTTTACAAGAGGCTCCCGTTGGGCACCGTCACGCTCGCCGAACTCACGGCATTCATTGACCAGGTCATACAATATGCTGCCGCTTCAGGTGTAAGGGGAGATGTGCTTTTGCAGCGTGAAGATGACCAGCTGCGAGGACATCACCCAGAAGAATTCTTGTCGGGAGTTCCTGAGCTTGACAAACTTACTGGCGGGTTCGCAGGCCCCAGAGTGATAGAAGTATCTGGAGACAGGGGTTCTGGCAAGACGGTATTGTCTCGCTTTCAAAAATACCTCCTGCGACTTACCCCTCCATCAGGTTCTTGCTCTGCAGGTAGTAATGCGCCACCTATCTCTCATCCCAGCCTCGGCTGCGATGTGGATTGACACCACAGGCGACTTCTCAGCGGATAGATTAACGCCTGTGGTTCAATCTTTGACACATCATGTGGGTGAATCTCGCATTATATGAACTCAGTGTTTGGCTTACATAGCCTGTGATAGCCTGCTATAGCGACGGCGGCCGAGCGGTTACAGATTTCGCTTGCGTTTGACATAGAAAGCATGCAGGAGGTGCTGGATAGCCTGCGTTCAGAGCTTGAGGTATTTATCTAAGCTTAGGATACTGGCACTGTTAGTTTATTGGCTGCAGTCAGAACATGGGACGCAGGCGTCGAGAACGCGCCTGCTCGTGATTGACAATATCACGCCGATTTTCAGGCCCTTGTTGAGCGTAGTCTCGTCGCAAGGTTCGGAGATTGGATATATACCTTATTTTTCCTTTTACGTACTGCAGCCAATGCGTAGGCCACGCAATTATGACAAGCTTCATGCGCCAGTTGCGGTCCTTAGCGCGAACGCACCTACTTTCCATCCTGGTACGCAGCCAAACCTTTGCCTAGTTGTGCAGCTATCTAATCGCGCAGAAGGTTTTGAACGGGACGAGTGCTTCGGCACCTCACAACCCACAGTCCGTCTTCCCGAATACGGCACGAAAACCTGCACTGGGACCCACGTTTGCCTTCATGACGGACGCTACCCTCTGGCTCGCGAAGCACCGTCCGTCCCCTGCTCCCGGGATTGCTGACCAGAATTCAGGCGATACCCATGTCGCGGAACTATTCTGCTCGCGTACGATGGTGAGTGTTCATGTCTTCTCCCTTGGCGTGGTACAGATGTTCGGTACAGCCTTCCAGGACATGGTGCACATTCAAGACTCGGAACGGTGTGCTCTCTTCTGCGTGATGACTGGCCCGGCTATCTTGCATCTACCTCCAAAAACAAGAGGCATATAAAGTATCGAAGCTAACGTGCTACCTCTTCTTTGGGCCGTCCTCGTAGGTGAGGAACCCCTGAATTTTTTTTGTTCTGGACGCGTCATCACTTACCTTGAACAAGACCAGACCAGATAGACGTCGGCATTCCTGTACAAGTTACAATATTCCAATGTGATCCATAATTGATACAGAATAGATACAACTATCGTCGTGGCCATAGCATGTCACGTTCACTAATCTTCAAATCTGGAAACCTCGAGTCAGTCTTCGTTCACGGCAATGGTATGTCAAAGACTCACCTGTCGGGCATCAGTACTGGCGCGACCAAGCTCCAGATGTAAAGGAGAATACACGCCCAGCTGGAGACGACCCGCATCCACATGGCTACCTCGGACCGGCCGATGTAGACGTCGTTCTCCTTGTCGGGAGACAAGGCAGTCCCGGCGCGGACGACGTTCCAGTCAGTCAGAAGCATGGCCACGTACATTGCACCGATGGCGAAGATGATATGGAACCAAGCATACTAGTTAAGATCGGTCAGCCTACAAGTGTATGGGCAGCTGAAGGAAAGGTGCTTACGTTGTAGCGGGTGCCGGTGCGCTCATCGTCTCGGAGTTCGCCAACAGGACCGTCGTCGTCGTCGTCATCTTCCTCTTCCAGAGCAGATGCAGGGATCGCTCTGCAGAATATCATTGGCAACTGTCAGTCTAAGTAAGGAAAACTCTACTCACCCTGCTTCCACTGCGGCCAACAGAGCCTGATATCTCGGGGTTTCGGTACGGCTCGGTTGAGTACTGACGACACCCAGTTCCGAGTGCTCGTTGTCTGGAGGAAGCTCGATAGCTCCCTTCTTGTGTTTGCCAACCAGCGCACTGCTTTGTGTGGCAGCCCTGCTGGTAGAGTACGCAATCGCCAGGAAAGTGAAGACAGCGCCGAGAACGAGGGTCGTGGTCCTGGCGCCCTGGACGCTGCCGCGGTACTTCTGCAGAGGGTTGCACTGGTCGTGCTCGTGGTTACCGATGGCGGACATGGTCAGATAAGTGCAGTAGACGGCGACCATACTCGACTGGGCAAGACCAGACCTAGGATTGTGCTCTTGAATCGTCGGGTGGATGCAGAGGATAGTGATGAGGATGCACAAGGCAAGGTTGAATGAGATGAAGAACCGGTTGAGACCACACTCCGAGCCTGCGAAGAAGCCGAACATAACGCCGGTCAGCGCAGCCGTGGCTGCGTACATGCCCGCAGTAGAGCCAAGGAGGATCCACTGCCAGAGGTTGGAGTTCGAGGAGCTCTCCCAGTTCTCGAGACATGTCTCCGACCATGAATGGGCGAAGTCAACGAGCAGAACGAGGCCGAGGACGATGAATACGGTGGCACCCATCATGGCGACATAGTTGCCCCAGAACATGAAGAAACCGTTGGGAATGAAGAACGAGACGACAACGAGGACTAGCCAAAGCAGGACTTTTGGACCCCACCATCTGCAACTGTTGTCAGTTTAGGTTCGCCAAACATAGCATATAGGCGCACCCATTCTGAAGGGCAGCACGTTTGTCTTTCGTATCCCTAACACCGACCAAGAGTGCGCCAAGGATGAAGTGGAACAACGACAGCGCAAAGCAGATTCGATGGACCTAGGTGAAAGCTTAGCAGGGAACGATATAGAGGAAGCTGGTGACGCACGGCCAGCACACCATAACATTTACCGCCTGAGCAATCCATCTCAAGATATCCATGGCTTATTTTCTCGAGCTGCTTGATGGCGAGTGGAGTCTTCATGAGCCAGGCGAACATGGAGTTCAAGCAGAATATAATCTTGAGACTCGTCAATGCCCGCGAATTTGGCACCTCAGAAACGACATGAACGTACTGCAAAGCCAACACGGGTCGCGATCGAGGAGTTGCAGTTACAGGATTTGAAGAACATGGACGCTAACTTGCGCTTTAGAGGCATGTGACGGGCACCGCAGCGGCGAGAGACATACCAGCTGTTGAAGTAAAACAAAAGGCTATGCCTGCCAGACATGATGATGCTATAGTCCCAGCGGCGCCCGTTAGAGGGATGGAGAAGAGGATGCCCATGATGGTTAAGGGTGAAGAGCACGGCTGATCGCCAGCTCCGGTCTCAAGCTGCGTATAGGGCGCTAAAAACCATACGCTTTCTCCGCCTTCTTACTACTTTGGGAGAAGGGCGGGACAAGCAAAGGAGCAAGTTGCAGAGGAACTAAGCAGTCGGCATGCATATGCGAAGACAGATATAGACGTAATTGGGCGACACATTCGTGCCCATCGTCCTGAGTAGCGGCGTAACCATTAATAAATCATAAAACTACAACCTGCCGGCCTGCTTCAGTCCAACACGTAGATAGTGTCCCCCGTATCCCCTATGATAAGTCCTGGCGACGACTATGGCTTCCTATCTCGCTTGAAATACTGACTGTTGACAACAGTAGCTTGCAGCATGTCGAATACGGTCTCGCCAAAGCCGAAGTACTTGTCGGCGATCGAGCGCATAGTGTCGTCTGGTATACTCTCAGTGCGAGGGCTGGACGAATGGCACACAGAATAGTAAGCTATAAGGTACGCATACTCATGACCGAAAGACGCACCCGAAGCCGCTTGACCGTCTCACACCAGCTACTACTGTTGACAGCAGAGCAGCGTCGAATGCGTAGTGGAATAATCGTCCCAGAGCCATTTGGTTATTTGCGCCTTGGGGTTCAGAATACGAGCGATATATGATGTATGAGTGAGGAGATAGAGTCTAGAGATGATATACGGCAGCAGAGTCGCGTGCCGAAGTGGGTGCAGGGGACGAAGCCTGTCGGCCGCCAGGGTCCAGTCCTTAATGAGCGTCTAACTAACCAGTCGCGTTCCTCGTGCACGTTGCATTGACGTTGCACCAGACAGCGAGCGGCGGTCATCAGCATGCCACAGTCCTGGTGTAGCACGTAACAAACGACAGCAGCCAAGAGCTTATGTTCTGTCTGCACCACCTCGCACCTCGACGCATGCCTCGAAGAGTAACTAATATCGGCCGTCATCCGGTCAGCGGAGTTAATCCCGACGCCTCTTCCCCGTGACCGTGCTCTCGGCGTCCAAACCTCACCTAGAAGTCGTGCATCCTCGCCGAGAACGAGGAGCGTCTCCGCGACTCGTTGCATATGGAGATCTCCCGCCGTACTGCCAGCTCACTAGCCGAGACATTATTAACCAGCCAGCTCACAGCTCCTCTCCACAACCATGATAGCTATGGATTACTCTCGCGAAGTGCCTCACTCTGAGCTGCTGCTTGTCCGCGGCACTCAGCCGTTCAACGCGGAACCGCTCGCCTCTGCTCTGGTGCAGTTCGCCATCACTCCTGACGACCTCGTGTATTGCAGAAACCATGGCCCCGTCGAGGATCTCGATCACGATGCGTACGCTATGGCCGTAGAAGGGGGGTCATCTGGGATAGTGCGCTATTCCATGGCAGACTTGGAGACGAAGTTTGAGAAGTACGAGGTCGTTGCCGCGCTGCAAGTACGGTGATGCACGCTACCTCCTGATGTCGAATGTTGATCCCTTTTATAGTGCGCGGGAAATCGGAGAAAAGAGATGGACAAAGTCAAGAAAGTGAATGGTATTCTCTGGGACGACGGAGTCGTTTGCAATGCGAGATGGGGTGGTGTTCGTCTGCGAGACGTGCTGCTGGACGCGAATGTCGAGCTAGAGGGCAACTCTCACGTCCAGTTCGCTTCGCATGTGACCCCCTGTGAGGACGACACATGCTATGGTTCGTCCATTCCTCTGGAGAAAGCCATGGATGAGGAGGGCGATGTCTTACTTGCATGGGAGGTGGGTCTATGTTGCTAATACCGTGCCTTCGCGCGCTCTTACAGGTAACTTCAGATGAACGGCGAATACATGTCTCCTGACCGCGGTTCACCGCTGCGTCTGGTCGTCCCTGGCTACTGTGGTGCACGATGGGTTAAGTGGATCGACTCCATTCGGCTCTCTTCTGATGAGTCGCCCAATTACTACCAAGCACGCGATTACAAGATCCTACCACCAGAGGTATATTATTCTTAATGATTCTCAAAAAGCTTACTGATTTGGATGTCTAGATTGAGTCAAAGGCACAGGCTGCATCTGTGTGGTCGAAATACCCCTCCATCAACTCGCTCCCGCTCAACTCGGTTGTGGCATGTGCAACACTTCGCAAGGGTGATTTGGGCAACACGCTACTTGTCAAAGGATACGCCTCTCAGCATATCGACGCGCGCATCGTCGCAATTGAGGTATCCGTAGACGATGGTATACTCTGGCATCCAGCACACATCACGTATCAAGAGGGTCGCTGGAGCTGGACGTTATGGGAAGTGGAGCTTCCTGGTGTGGAGGAGCACGGTACCGTCTACAGTCGAGCAATCGATGAAAGGGGGAACATGCAGCAGAGGGAGTGCAAGTGGAACCTGCGCGGTGTTGCCTTCAATCCATGGGGCGTTCGGAAATGGTAGCGAGCATGTACACACTATGATATATTTTCAATATCAATTCTAGAGCGGCGTATTGACGTTCCTATGCTCTGTTCACACCCAGTTCTGACTGCTCAGGTTACTCTACGTGGTCTGCGGGGAGTAAACCGGGATCTTTGAGCATTAGAACACCCGAGTCTCTCCATCACGGACAGCCAGCATGATATGCACAGTTTTTGAAGCCCCGACACAGAGATACACTAAGGTCTTCTCTTAATTCTTGCTTGAGCTCGTAGGCTTGTCGGGGCTAGTCGAAGGCATGTCCTGGAGTCTTGCTAATCCCAGCTATTTCGAATGTGGAGTCGCCCAGGGACGAAGGTTCGGTTGTTCAGTGTAATAGCACTTTCGTAACACCGGTCGGCTCACGTAGCCTATGAGCGATCAGCGCAGTGGCGGCCCTGAGGCTGCGTACGCTGCGTATTCATCGGCGCTGTCCAGCAGTGCCACCTCGTTCGCCAGCCCAACGAGCTGCAGCCGCACTTAAAATCAAGTACAGACCAGAAAGCTTTGCAGGAGTTGTTGCCAGCTGCTCGCAGCGTCATTTTGTGGCACTGAAGAGTCCGTACGACCAATATTAACATTGTATGTGGGCGGTCGACCGCTGGCCTTGTGGCGAGGATCGGACCCGAGGTAGCCGTCTTGTCCAATCAGAGACTGTTCTGTAATCACTCCCGTAAGTCCAATTATCAGATAAGATTAAAGTGGCCTGATTTCGTCGCTTGTTATCTCATCAGGCGCCCTAGGCCGGACTCCTTCGTCCGCTCCTCGACCACAGTCAACGTCTATGGCGGCTATGGATACCGTATAAAACGTGCATCTGTGTCCGCATTGTAAGTACACATCCGTCACCTCTCTAAGCATGAGTCTCAAGACATCTTTAACTAGGACTGTAGCAGTCATTGGCGGGTCCTACGGAGGTATTGCAACGTCGCGTTGTAGAGAAAGATTCTACGATTGACTGTTCATTGCCCTTAGGTCATTCTGCCGCACAGGTACTCGCTCACGGTCTTCCAGAGAATTGGCGTGTGGTGGTTATTGACCGCAACAGGTTTGTCCTCAGCTTCACACCGAGCTGCATCACTCGAACTGACCATGTATGATTTAGCCATGCAAACCGTACGTTTTCACCCTTCTCAGGCATATCTCTATGCCGTCTCTGACGTCTTCCAGATCTTTATGTTTTTCCACGCTATTGCGTAGTCCCTGGCCATGAATTTAAGGCTTGTAAGCTGCCATGTAATGTGCTTGCCTCGAACCCCCTGCTGACGACCACCAAGTTATACCTTATGACCGTATTTTTTACAAGGCCGAAGAAGGCTCTATCATTCCACCGAAGAATGACCGTCATCTCATGCTCCATGCTACCGTCACGGATCTCGAGGAGCATTCGTTGACGCTCTCGAGGGCCATCCCTGAAATGGGAGTCATGGAGCCAAAGCTCACCTTCGACTATTTGGTGTATGCCTTAGGCTCTCACCCCCCGGAGCCCATCGACCTCTGGGGTTCGGTCAACTTGGGCTCCGTTCCATACGACGGGACGAAGCCCGTTGGCATGGAATGGATGAAGAGCGCCCAGAAGCGCATACAGGAAGCCTTGAGCGTGTTGATTGTTGGGGGCGGCGCTCTAGGCATTCGTCCGTCGTCCGTATTGTTTCTACAGTTCATTGCTAAATATGCCATTAGAATATGCCACGGACATAGCTGATGCATATCCGGACAAGCCTGTGACGCTCCTCCATTCTCGGGATAGATTGCTGCCTAGGTTTGATCCTGGCATGCACGAGCTCAGTATGTTCGATTTCAAACCATCACTGCACTAGGTTAAACGCCGCCTTTTCTCTCAACAGTTACATCTCGCATGTCAGAATTGGGAATCCAAGTCATTCTCGGCGAAAGGCTGGACGTATCGTCCGTTCCGCCTAGTGCACTCATCACCACGAAAGAACATGTGCTCCGTACTCTCTCGGGGAGAGAAATTCGCGCTGGCTTAGTGGTACGTTCGTCGGTGCACCGACGCAGAATTTGATTAGTTGCTCATGCATGTCGATAGCTCCTGTGCACAGGTCAGCGACCGAATACTGACCTACTCCGTAAAGTGGCTCCTGACTCTATCATTGCCGATGGTCCAAATCACGGCCAAGTTCGCGTCACCCGGTCAATGCAAATCGCAGTTCCATTGGCGGAACCTTGTTGCTCCGATGGTTTACACTCCATTTCACCGCATATTTTTGCAATTGGTGATCCGGCCGATGCCTTCGGAGCATCCAAGCTTGGTTATTGTGCTCACAGCCAGGTAATGCTCTGTTATCGCCGTGCTAAACATGCATTGACAGTATTTAATAGGGTATGGTCGCAGCAAATAACATACTCAAACTTGTCCAACGCCAGGAAGGAGCTTCCGGGGACGAAACTCTCGGGTCATACAGCCCTGGACCGCCCGGTATCAAGCTCTCCGTGGGATTGGTGCGTTATATCATGCCGGACATCAAATACTGCGTTTTACTCACTGCTATATTCTAAGACTCAAGCGATATATCAACGCAACGGCACCATAGGACAAATGACCGACCAACCTGTGGACTGGGAGGCCGCTTATATGTGGCGAGTTTTTGGTCATCCTGATGTCCGGTAAGAATGCTGTATGTCGATTCTTTTTAAATGCTGCTATTTGCAACATAGTGCGTTTTCGACGTCTTTCTGTTGCAGGTGTACTGACTCAACCCTGCGGTTTTTGTCATCGTAGGTTCCAGCCGATCTCGCTGGATGACTTAAACGAATAGAAGTTGGTTAATGTGTACCTCAGTCCCCGCTCAATTGATGAAGTATAACTTTTGCTGGATAACCGGTATCTGGACGACCAGCTTCACCATATCTCCGTACGGAGATAAGCTTACTGGCGCCCATATGGGTTCGGGAACCGCCCGAGGCCGGGTTCGGATGTCGCATGACCCGGTTGATTATGCATTGATCTTGGGTCCACCATCGGCGCGAGAACGTAGTGCACCACACGGTCAACTACCACGTCGATAGCAACGAAGTCCTTGTATTTGTTGCTTGAGACTCGGATGCCCGCCGGACTGCCTTGAGGTTTGTTGCTATTCGTTGATAACTCCGAGTTGTGGCTCGAAACTTTCGTGGAAGCACTCTTCTGTCTTATCGCAAGTGCACTAGCTGACATGTGGTGTCATGATCGTGGTCTTTCAACCAGAGAATCTCCGCTGTTTTCCCTCTAAGTGAGTTTCAGTGTTTCCGACCAGATACTTTGCTGAATTGATCCAATGTGATGTTTCCAGCAGCCCGGGTTATTCGACTTGACATGTCCAATTTGAATAGCGTGCCCCACAACATCACGGGCTGTCTTTCACGAGACTCATTCGAACTGTTGAGAGAGCGAGCTCAAAGAGGATATCGCAAAGCACGTCTTGACGTGCACATGACGCGTCTAGAAGTACGTACATCAGTGCTACACAAGCTTTGGCTTCCCTACCTCAAGGTCGTCCTCCAGGTTTAGCTCACACCGCGTTGTTCTTGGGCGGCTGGCTCCTTGGCCTGACCGAGAGCACCGAGAGCACCTCATGTCCTCTACTGCTGCTCAATTGTCACCAGACTTGTTTTTGTCTACGGGCAGCATGCTCACCTAGGTCAAGCCCCTCTTGACCATTTTGATGCTTCCGCTGCCGACAGTCATACATGTGGTTGTCTCTTCAAGATGGCCAGATACGTTGTTGACCCCGCCCAAACCAATGTGCTGCCCCGGGACGCTCACCTCAGTAGCAGGTGCACACCTTTCCGGCCGCGGTATCGGAGACGAAGATCTAGCCTGATTGGATGCCCGGCTTGCCTTCGCGAGCTTGCGTTCGATAGGTAGCGTTCATGGAACCGTACTACATAGCGCACATGAATCGAGGAACAGATAAAAGGTGCGTCGTCTGAGGCTTCACTTCGTCGGCCCCCCTGCTTCCACTGGTCGTCATTGGCACAATGATTGCTCCTCGCCTCCACCCTCTTATCGGCTTAGCCACCTCTCTTCTGTCTTTCGCGGCCCAACGCGCCTTCGCGTTCAGTCCCACGAGTAATGAGAACGTACGTGTCCGTGTTCTGTAGGCGTTACTACTTCATTAAAACCTTTCTCATTGCTAGGTTGTCGCGTACGTGAAACTGTAGACGCGTATTACGTGCCTCTTCATTTGTCACGTGTAGCTACTGGGGCCAGAACTCCTACGGTGCGACCCACACCAGCGACACGGCTAACTGGCAACAGCCCGTCGACTTTTACTGCCAGGTAACGTGATCGCTCCGATCGCTTCTGCCGCACTCCCATTCATCATATTCATATTGGTCAGGATGACTCCATTGACGCGTTTCCCATCGCATTCTTGAACGTGTAAGTTGGTTCTCGCACGCTTAATGAGTATCTAAACAAAACTTGATCCGAAATCAGCTTCTTTGGAGCTGGTGGGCTGCCCTCCATCGACCTGGCCAACGTGTGTCTTCCACTATTACTCACACTAGATACAATATTGAGGCCAGTGTTAGACTTGCAACATCAACGATGACGCAGTGTTCAGCGGCACCCAGCTGCCAAACTGCCAGTTCCTGGCCTCTGCCATCGAGACTTGCCAGTCTAAGGGCAAGATCGTCACCATCTCCCTCGGTGGTGCGACTGGTGCAGCCGGCTTCACATCCGATGCTCAGGCGACGCAATTCGCCAACACCATCTGGAACGTCTTCTTGGGTGGTTCCAGCTCTACTCGTCCTTTCGGTGGCGCAGTTCTTGACGGGTGGGTTCCTATCACCCATACCTTAACAAAAAAAAACTGAACATGAGCTAGTGTCGACTTGGATATCGAAGGTGGCTCTACAGAATACTTCACGACTTTCGTTTCTGCGCTCCGCTCCCTCATGGATGGCGGCAGCAAGCCATACTACATCACGGGAGCCCCCCAGTGTCCCTTCCCGGATGCTTACCTCGGAAGGTTAGTCTGTGCATCTCACTGGCCCGGGGCATAAGGCTCATGGTGTACCAGTGTCATCAATGCAGTCGGCTTCGACGCTGTCTATGTCCAGTTCTACAACAACTACTGCGGTCTCAACAACTACAACGATGCTAACGACTGGAACTTCGCCACCTGGTATGTCATCGACTTTTGTGAGGGTATTCAGCCTATTGACCTTGGCGCAGGGACAACTGGGCGAAGACCACCTCTCCGAACAAGAACGTCAAGGTCTACATCGGTGCCCCAGCTTCTTCGACTGCTGCAGGAAGTGGATATGTGGATATCGACACCTTGACGACCATTCTCCAACAGACCAAGGCGCAATACTCTTCCTTCGGTGGTGTGATGTTGTGGGATGCTAGCCAGGCCTATGGTGCGACTCTGCCTTACTCATAGCATGACTCCATCTTTAATCACGTTCGTCTCAGCCAATGGCCGCTTCGATGCTGCTTGCAAGTCTGCGCTTACCGGTGGATCGAGTGCGCCGCCGCCGCCGCCACCCTCCACCACAACCTCGACTGCCCCCACGACCACTACCAGTGCGCCGCCACCTCCGGCCTCTGGCGGTAGCTGCGCAGGTGTCAATACTTGGGTCAGCAACGTCGCTGTGAGTATTAGTCATCAGAAGACTAAGAAGTGATGCGGATGCTAAACCCGTGTGTAGTACAACGGTGGCGACCAGGTCGTCTACAGCGGCGACCTCTGGACTGCCAAGTGGTGGAGCTACGGAGATGTACCCGGAGGTTGGTGCCCGAGCTCCTCCCTCACTACGTATCTGACTCGTTGCTTCAAGGCACTGCTGGTGACTGGACGAATGACGGCGCTTGCACCTCGAACAACCTCAAAGCTGGTCAATACATCGCCTACCACTACGAGCAGAAGTCCGTCCCAACCAAGGTACCTGTCGAAACCCCCTCGAGCGTCCCAAAGACGAAGAACTCGCGGGTCTACAGTTTCTGAACGAATACAATCGTATACCAAGATGCACTTTGGAATGACTGATTTCGAGATTACTTAGAGGTCTTGTACTTCGAAATTTGGATGCATAGTTGTAACATTATTATTTAATGAAGACCCTTGTACAGCAAAGCGCAAGTCATGTCTGAGACGTTATGAAGTGACACGACTGTCATCTCGGGTAAGTCGCGATGGTGATAACGATGGTTGCGCTGTGTGCAGATTGCAAGTCGCCCTCATGTCAGCCGCGGGAACGGGAAGGGGGTCGCTTACTTACCCTCAAGCTATATATCGCAGCATACGGGCTGATATGCGCCATCCTTCGTACCGACAGGCTCGCAGCTCACGCCAATCAAGTGCTGCGGGTCACCATCAGATACTCCAGAGAGCACTAGTAGAGGTAGGAAGCCACGGCCAGCTTCCTGGTTTACTTGAAGGGCCTGCAGTGTTTTAGCCTGAACATCCCACGTGTCAATTTGGGCTAGGACTCACACCGATGGCCTGCCTACGGCACAGGTTCTGCAGCGCGTCTGGGCATTGCATGGACGCGGGTATGGCCAAGGCAGCCGTACTGAGAACTAATATAGACGTTAACAGGTACATGATGGGTGTGCGTGAAGGGAATGTGCGGATAGTGTATAGCTACGGTCAGGTTATGAGGTGGCGGAGGCGGACAACGGTGGGGCGGCTGCTTACCGTTTAGGTGACTCCGCGGGACAATGTCATCCTGCCGGAGGAACACATGAAGCTGATCTTTTTGAGGTAGAGAGCGAACTTCGAGCTTGAATCGGTGGTGAGGCTATATCAGCGTACAGTGTAGCAGGGTGTTGGATGCATAGGCAGGTCACTTCAAGTTCGACTGCCTCAAACTGCGCGCCCCGATGTCCGACTGGAGTTTAACCAGTTTGTCGATGTGACTGCTGCAGACCTATAACGCGCTCCAGGCCGCGAGTTGGCCTATAACTAGAGCCTTGCTTGAGTCGTGCGTGTAGTCCCATGTCGAACACACGCCAGGAGAGCTTGAGGTTTCCGGGGTCCGGGCCGAGGCTCCTGTTGCCGCACTCAACCTTGCATTGCCTGTGGACCTGCTCTCACCTTCGATACCCTATACCCGCACTCTGACGAGTAGCATGGCGAGCAAGGCTACTAGGCTTCGTGCCATCGCACTCTACAAGGAGCTACACCGGTTGGGCCGTGACTATCCTGACCCGTCGTGAGTGTTGTCCTCATTATCCTCAAAGGGGTCACACGATAACACCCCTCGCGCTCTAGGTACAATTTTCACGGCAAACTTCGAGGGCTATTTGAGAGTATGTTTATCAAAGGAGTCTAACAGGAGGGCTGGGTTGATGTCACGTCTCCCAGAGAACAGGAACCTGACAAACCCGGAGGAAATTGAGAAGGCGATCAAACTTGGGGAGTACATTCGCAATGGTGTGTTTGGAGATTTGTCGAGACTGTTTTGCAGCACTCACTAGGTGTTCTATGTTGTAGAAACTCTTGCACTATACTCACTTCGCAAGTATCGACATCTGAAGAGAATGTATCCCCAAGAACCTGCTGTCGAGCCCATCCCGGAAGCCCGCAGCTCGCCCATGAAGAACACATGACAGTGCCACCTCCCCGTCGTACATAACGATTTTGAAGGCCGCGTGGGTAGATGTATGCGCAACGTCGCATCTTATGCCGTAGGCGTGTCCATAGACATGTCTTTTATGGCCTAAACGACACGCCCCGAAGACACGCCCCGAAGGCGAGGAAGATCGTCGCTGTGCATTCTCGGAACGTCCTTTAAACTACTCTACCACCCACTGGGAAGGAGTATGTCCGACTGGGGCCGCTGGACATGCAATCATAGCTCTCGTGGGAGAACGGATAGCGTCAGCAAAGGGTCGGCCAAGGGTCTGGGAGAAGTCACGAGTGAGCTGTACATATGAGCATAGTAGGTGGCAGAGGCGGTTGCATAGACTTGATTGATAGAATGCGGGTTTCGATAGGTTTTTTATTCGCCATTGCGCAGAGTTGCTCGTGGTATGTGGGTCCAAGTGTGCTGGCCTAGCTCCGTAGCCTGTTATATTTTACCCACGGCCGAGCTCTTATTCGATCGGTAACAGAACATTTTCTTACATCATCACCCTTCCGCTCCCAGTTGAGTCAACCCCCACTCTCGCATAGGCCTTTATGACGTCAGAGCGTCTTCGTGCTCCTCCATCACGCCAACACCTCTCACTCTCAAAACCAGCTCGCCTTCGACCTTCACGACCCCTGCCATTTCTGATCTCTGTCCTCTTCCACGGCATTTAGCATACCAACACTTAGATTCACACGTACATCATGTACTCTCTCGCAACTCGCTCAGCTCTCAGGCGCGCCGTCGCCGCCCCTGTCTCTCATAGTGCCGCTGTTGCGCAGCGGTACTCGAGCACCATGCACGAAAATGACCCAGAGGTATGTCGTACATGATACTCATCGGTTGGCTCCACTGATCTATATACACGCAGGTTCTGGAGGTCGAGAAGCAGCGTAACTTGAGCAAGAAGCAGCACCATACTTCAACCCCTATCAAGAACGCACCTGGTTGGAACCATTATCTCGCCAGTGCGTCGGAGGCAGCAGTCAAAGTTGGTCGCACCCATTGGTTCCGCTTCTGCGTGCTAACATGCACCTAGGCCGACCGCTCCGACCATAACCTCCATGAGCTTCAAGAAGAGACTCTTCATCACATCAAACAGCGTCACGGACACGGCGAGTCTACAGTGGCCGAGCCGTCCGATGTGCCACCAAAGAGCGGTAACAACAAAGGTGCGGTTAGCGGAGAAGAGCGTGTGGACGCTTACGAAGCCACTTACGAAAGGGACGAGATGACTGGCCCACTGAAGCATTCTGCTAAGATGGAAGGCACGGAGCGCGACGTATACAAGCAGAGAGTTGACAGGAAAGAGTCTGATCTTCCCGGAGGCATGTAAATGAGCGTTGTATGGGTCTTGGGATGGTTGACTGTCTTCCTCAAACGAATCGCCATAGCTCATCGACTCCAAAGCATTGTTGTAATTATATTTGCACTGTCATCATCGGATCTCATTGTCTCACTCGCATCTCACTGTTGCGAAAGGGTGTTGGCTTGCGCAAGTGCTTGGCAGCAAGCCCTATTCGTGGGCTATAAGTCCGCGCGTAACTACTACGCCATAATTCTTCTGCCTACTACACCTGACCACCAACCGGCCCACTACTCTTATGTCACCCTTTGAACCAGTTTATACCAGTGTGATGGCAGGAGCTCGAGGTGAATGAGGACACCGGTGAGACGAAAGTCAGGGTCCTGAGCGGCCGTGGGCGGGACTCCGGGCACCCCATAGTGTTGATAACTTCACCTCGTCGAGGTAGGTGCCTTGTGCATCTTACCGAAAGCGAGCATTTCTTCCAGGTTGTATTCGACGTTCAGCGCAGCTTTGAGAAGGCCATCCACACTAGTACTGACGAACGCGACAGCTTCAAGGCTGAAATGGACCAACATATAACTCATCAGCATGTTTATCTCCCAGCTCGATCTCCTTTGTCGGACAATTTGGAACCTCGGCTCCCACAGGAGCTAGTTGAAATCGTGTTCGATTACTTGCATGACAACAAAGGTACGCTTACTCAGTGCGCTCTCGTCTGCAGGGACTGGGTCCCTTAGGCTTCCAGCACGATCGGACGCCTCTTCAATTGCCTCCACTTTCTTCCCTGCGCCTACCTCTGGGAATACCTGGAGCCGTATACACGCTACGAGTCCTCTCATTCTACATGTAACGCAACAGCAGGCAAAAGTTTCGATGATCTGCTTGCCCTTCTTGCATCTTCCCCACGAATCAGCGGCGCCGTGCCGACGAGATCTCGAGCTGTCAGCCGGGCGATATACAGCGCACGATGAGAGCAATCGCAGAGATGTGGCGTGGCTCGACCCTCACCACCTTCCGACACGTACTTTATCAGACCTTGTCGGCCTCTTTCCCCGCCTCATGTCAGTCGCTCTGGACCTCTGCAGACCTCCCGATGCAGAGGTGATGCCTGCGCACGGCCTGCTGACGGATTGTGTACCTCACATCTTACTCCGTGGGAAACACACCTTGACCTTGCTTCACCTTCGCTGCTTTCACAGCATCGGCACCTTGACCATCCGCAACCTGTTGCCTAGCTTCTGGGGGCCTGCCATCCCTCAGGTTGCTCAAGGCACAGATCGTCTTACAGAGGTAACAACGCTCCAGGTCTTTGATATTTTCAATACCAATTGGCTTGCTATGGGCTAGTACAGTTATCCACCGCTCCTTGAAACAGCCAAATTCTCCATGCCCATTGACGGCGTTCCACTTTGTGTATTGAGCCAGAACTTCGTATAACTTATACCGCACATCTCTCACATACTCTAGAATATTTTGGAGACCAACAGTGGAGAAATCTGTGAAGGGGAGGGATCCCGCACTTTTGATGGCAATCGCCCCTACCACCACTCGTTGAAACACCCTTTTCTGGCTTGATGAGTAACCGCTTTAGGCAACTTTACCTGACGAAGCGCCCGATCCCGTCCCACGCACCAAGGGCCGGCAGTTCGGTTGGACAACATACGACATCTCTACCCTTGCTAACGGGTATAGTGTATTCAGAGATGCACTTACAAGCGTCAGTGGAGCTGCCGAAAGGTTTAACTCACGGCTTTAATTTTGAGAAGGCCATCAATGTGCCATCAACATGGGAAAACATACTTTTCCAGCTCTACGGCATGAAATACATGTTCCCTCGTGTTCTAGCATCACTCTGCAAGAGTTCCAGAAAGAATACGTCTACCATGGTTTTTCTGCTAATTTAAGTCACCCTGAAAGCTTTGAACTGCGCGCTGTTTCAAGGAGTGGTGGTGTTTCAAGGAGCGGTGGATAACTGTACTATCAAATCCTCCCCAACCTCCTTGACGTGCAGTCGGTGCGCGCGTTAACGGTAAATTCCCCCGCCTCGCTGCAGCTAGACGACTTTGTTCGGCTGCTCACCAACTTGGAGTCGCTTGCCCTGCCGGTTAGCAGAGACGGCCACGACATCTGTATTCCTCCACTGCTGCGCTCCCTGACGCTCTCATTTTTCAATTCTGCTCAAAAGCGCAGGTGAAAACCGCCCCAGAGACTTGCTGGATCCGTTCGCGCGAGCGGTATGTCGTTTCGTGGAACAAGAGCAGGCAGTGCGCGAGATCCACATCAGAATCCAGCTCAAGCTCAACCGGCACCACGTCGCCACAGTTCAAGTAATACTAACTTAAAGCCGGTGAAGGGATCGAGGAATGGAATGTGACACGAAGCGGAGCACATGGGAGATGCTGAAGGCGATGGAGGTAAAAAGAGAAATGGGATGTGAATGAGCAAAGGACAGGGCGCAGGGTGACGGCGAAGCGGGGGAGGCAAGTTAGAGATTAGACTGTTCGATAAGATAGTGAAAAGGACGGTTATGAGTACCTTGTCAAGCAAGGTACTGTGTCTACACAGCGAAAGGAAGGATGCATAGCCCTGAATGTCTGATAGTGTCCGAACAGCGTACAAAGGAGAGAGCACTCTCCACTTAGGGGCGCGGCTCTCAGCTTGAGTCGCAGCCGACGCCAATACCGCCGTTCTGCGTGGAACCGTTATTGTTGGGAGAGTACAAGCGAGCGTGGGTGCAGTACTCACAGTGGGCCCGCAGCATCTTGGGTTGGAAGTGCAGCTGCCGCTGACTTGGATTAAAGGGCTGCACGAGACACCGACGGCGCCGTCGTTCGCACTTGGGTGGTCGTAGAGGCCGGCACTCTTGAGATATGCCTCGCCCTCGGGGGAGGACGGCTACGACGCCCGTCAGTGACTTGAACTCATTATAAGCTCGAAGAAACACGGTGCACCCACCTCATAATAATTGTTGCAGCACTGCATAGAGCCCGTGCCGCATATAGTGTTGCCGCTGTCACCTTGGCGCCTGACGCTAGGGCTAGCAGCCGCGAGGGCAGGAAGGACGAAAAGGAGGGTGGCAAGGATCTGCATGGTCGCAAAAGGAGGGATAGTGTGCAAGCTGTGAAGACGGTCTGTGCGAGTTGTTGCAGACCGGTGTCGGTCTCGACTACCTTCTTATACTTGAACTACAGTTCTAACATATGATGCATCGGGGCTTGTCTTGATCGCTTGAGTTTAAGTAGCGTGCTTCTAGGCTTGCATGCGACACTGTTTGGCAGTTATGCATGCATGTCGTCCCCAAAGCTTTGATGTGGGGAAGCGTATTTCTTGGCATCTGATGTACGAGCGGGCCACAGTGCATGGCATCACGCGCAATGAGCATAGTTTGCTTCAGCTCACTGTGATGCCAGTTTCAATATTCTTCAACTACTTAGATGCCAATAGGTCAGATACAGGAATTAAACCTATGACAAAAGCACTCGCCTTCCGCTCCACTTGGCGTCCTCTCGCCTGTCAATCACGTCGTTACGGAGTCTTTGGGGATTGCCAGAAGGTAGGGAAGAACGGACACCCTTGCGGATCACGTAACCGTGGGAGGCGCAAAATCTAGGGACTTCGCCAGCCTGCACCAAAATTTAAGGTTGAAGGCGAGTTGTGAAGGACGTCAGTAACTATTGGCAGGATAACTACAACTGGGAATTGATTTTACCTTGAATGTTTCATTCAAAGAAGCGAGATCTCAGCAGACAACACGCCATGAACAGACGGTGCCGCTAGTTGGTGGGCGGGATAACGCCGAATATATATGCTGCGCATCAGCGCGCTCGCGTAGTAAGTCACGTGATCTGATAGCGCTTCAAAAGTCGAATCCGGCTGGATGGCCGGAAAACGTGTTCACTGACGAGACCACTTTTCGCCTCATAGCTTGATGACAACGCCATGTATAAAGGTCTTCTGAATAGGAACTGTTGCCGGGCCCTCCTTTGATGTTTCGTACTGGATGGATTCACGAAAACAGGCGCGTACCGCCATTAAATTTAAGGTGCCGGGTGGGTGCGTCTACCTACATGAGGGCCCATAAGGGGTGCTTGTTCCTGGTGGCTTACTTTCAGCTGCTGTCAAGCACAAGCACGGCGCCGACATATCCCGGGTCGGATCTGGCTTCCTACGAACATTCATTGAAAGCACAAGTTACTGGTACGATACCATGGACTCACTCTCTCGTGTGGAGAGGTTAAGCGGGAGCAGGTCGTGCATACGTAGCCATGGCCAAACGTTAGACCCGCGGCTTCTTCGCTATACAGCCTCG